CTGAGTGTCACAAGTTAGATATGTTGAGGTAAATGGTTGATATGTTTGCAAAGGATATATGTGTACACAGATGAACTAGTTGGATCAGATGATATAGTTGGATCAGATGAATAGTTGAAGGGCTTGATACATTTGGATCAGATGATTGAACATGAATTGCTTCCCAGGGGGCCCCGAAAAGTTCACGAGCCCATATATATATATATGCAAATCATTCTGTGAATACGAAGACAAGGAGCCAACTACCAATAGACCAGACCAACCAAAGGGGAACTATGCCATGCAGGAACATAAGCAATACAGCTAGAATCGACTATGACTCGAGTATGTTTGCTAGGCAAGGGTAGGCGCCAATCAATTCTGTTATATACATTGTAAAATGTAAAATCGTTCTGGGGTAGGTCCATGGAGGGTGAGCACCATAAAACTACATGGCAACGAGCGTTTACGCCAGTGTGCAAGAGCATGTGCAGGTGAAAACCCTGAAAAGGAACACCGCCCAAAAAAGCTACTGTTTTGGAGGCATCAGTATGAAGAGGGCAGACGCCGTTCATCCCTGAGGTCAATGCTTAATGTTGTGCATCCGATAACACTGTTTTGATATCGATTCAACCACCCTGTGCCCCTATTTCCAAACAAATGGCCATGCAATCACAATGTTGTGTGGCCAATGATGCTATCTATGACATATTTATATGGATGTCAGTTGTCAGTGACATCATACGCATTGGCAGCATTGGCACACCTCTGAAAACGCCAGGCGACCTATCAATCCGAGGGCAACTATGTATATGGCTTTTGGCCAAAATCCCGGTAGGTTGACCTCCTGAGTATAGTCTATTCTGCTCATTTTCGCTGGTCAACCAGGGTCCCCCAGTTTTGACTTGACCCACAGCCATACATACATTCATACATACATACATAAAATATACTTGAGCCTGAATGACAGAATGACCTCTTCTACATTGACATTAGACAACCACCCAGAATATGGTCCTTTTCCATCAAAACAGGGGTTCACATGGGCTTTAGGAATATAATTAATGGCAGTACGTTGATACAGGCAACTGGTGACTTTAGTGCCCAACCGGTTGGAGACAACTGTGCACTAAATATATTATGTCGTGGGAGCCCGGTGCGAGAACCAGGCACGAAAGTCCGCTGGAGATCGCCTTGCGCTTGGGTGCTGCCGAGATAGCTCCTTGACAGGGTTGTACATCCTCCTGTGGAATCAGGGTGGTCCACCATCAGCTTAAAATGCTTTAGGTCGTTCCCTTTTGGGTATGATTTTACAGAGGATTGGGAGGCACCAGCCTCACATTACATGATTTCTTGTTGTTTAAGAAAGGGAGTCAGGCAAAATGATTCTATAGAGAGCACGGTATGTAGGCAGCTAGGTTCATCATTTCATATGTTGGCACTGGGTCTGGTGCCATGATTTTATAGAGCCGCTGCATTTTACAAGCATCTTAGGGGTCCTGTTTGTGGCCAATTTAAATCTACAAAATCAATGTGGGGAACCCCCCCACCTGGTTATACAACCCTGTGCTCCTTGCCCAAAGGAACTCATCTATGTCCGACAGTCGTCAGTTCGTACCTGAAGGGCAGTCTCATTTGTCTCATGCAAGGGTCAAAACACGACTTTGGAACCGAAAACTACTCTTGGTTCACCATATCACAGGGGCAAGCATGGATGATTTAATTATTATTGCACATTCACGTAGGGCTACTTCTAGCTCAGGAGTGCATCGAGGGACCAACCAAGAAGAGACGCCATCATTGGGTGAGACTTGATTCGTCTTGCTAAGCTTGGCGGTTGCTGATTTCGGGAAGTTGGCCTGACCAGCTGAGGCACAGCTCTTGCAGAGCTCAGCCGGGTAGCAGGCGGCTGACCGGTGGTCACAGTGTGGATAATTGTTGTCTGGCAAAGGAGAAAGCATGTTCAGTTGCTTTTTTTTCCGAAGTTCCATATTGTTCCTATGTCAGTCTTCATGTGGATTGTAATCGTTGTAATGTTCAATTTCCTTCCGCAATTCTTGCTTCTCGGCCAGGCACTGACTGCGAACTTCCAAGCAGGCCTAAATCACTGAATAAATCTGAAAGAATCGGGTTCCATCGTGCAGAGTTCTACATACAGACGACGCCTCATGCCACCAGAACGAAACGGCCAACATTTGTTCAAACAAACAGGGAACTAGGGGACCCGTGAGCCTTTGCCACAGTCTCTGTCTATGCCTTTTGTACCCTGAGTGTCAGAATTTTGTCAGAATGTTGATTAGTTCGTCAGTTGTCAGTACTTCCTGACAGGGGTGCTATGGCGAGCACGTGTGGGACCTCGCGAACAAACACGTGAGTCAAAAGGAAGGGCAATAAATGCTACCTTTCTTTAGCAGAGGGTTCTCCCAAACAACGACCTGTGGAAAATCTACAGCACATCCTGCGCCAGGATTGGGATCAAATGAAGCTGATCACCAACACTTGAAACAGCACTCAGGTCACATCCGGAGGTGCCCCCCAACACCCTGGGATTGGTAGCTGGTAGGATTGCGGTGAAAATCCAAAAGCTAGCGTTCCGGTTTTAGTAACAAACATCCCAACCCACCGTTCTTGTCAATGAAGTGCTGTCAGTAGTGCTGTCCATCAGCCCGATAGTGGTGCAGCAGACACAAAAGAACGCAAATTTGTGGTGGTGTCCCCTGTCAACTGATCCGGCCTTAAAAACATCAATGTAACACTGCCTCTGCCTTTGCAGCTTTGGAGCATTTTGTGAGGAATGGATCAGTAAAAGACGTGTTCCACACACACAAAAGACGCGGCATCTCCTTCTGAGGCCAGGTCAAGGGCAACTCATCGATGGTCCCGAAGGAGCACGGCGGATGACGCGTAGCCATGGCGTAGCACGGCGTATAGCCATGGCGTAGCACGGCGGTAGCACAGAGACGACTGGGTGAAGAATGACGGATGGATGAAACATGATGAAGCCACACGGACTGTGGCCGCAACAGGCCGGGGGGCGCTTCTTCCAAGCCAAAGTGCTTGTCAGAAACTTGTGTTTCTCCGCTGTCGGGAAAACACTTGTGTGTGTGTCACCCTCCGTCTCTAGGAGTCTTTCCCAGTTTTTCTGTGTTCTTTCTCACACAACGCAGGGGGCCATCCCCCTCCCCAGTGGCCATCCTCGAAGAGGCCACTGGGGAGGGCTGCAAACGTACCTGCGGAACTGTTGCGCAAGCTGTTCTCCTTTCGGTTCGCTTGTCATGGTGGTTCTCATGCTATTCCCCTAAACCTTCCTCTTTTTATCTGCTAAGTATTCAGTAAAGTGCTAACGCGTCAACACTGGTCAACATTTCAGTTAAGCCGACTTTGCGCCTTTCCGTTCCCTCATCCACTTCACTGTGGATTATGGAAACTGCAAACCCTGTGAGAAAGTGTGTAT